CTGGGTGGTCCCAGGGGAGGTAAAAAGGGTCTGGGTGGTCCCAGAAGAAGGAGGAAGGGTTTTGGTGGTCCCAGGGGAAGAAGGAAGGGTCTGGGTGGTCCCAGACAAAGGAGGAAGGGTCTGGGTGGTCCCGGGGGAGGAGGGACCTGTCTTGGAGGTGGGGACAGTGACCATCGGGGTGTTCCTGGGGGAAGAGGCCTGGGACCGGGTTACTGCTCTGGTGGAGGCCCCTGGTCCTGGTGACGTCACAGCCCCAGCGGCAGTGCTGCTGGTGCTCGGGGCCGCGGAGGTGGGGCAGTGGGGCGAGGGCTGGCAGCAGAGCGCCCGGACGTTATAGTTGAAGCACATGTTGAACTGGCCCTTCTGGTCCGCGTTCCTACAGACCAGCCCTGTCTGCAGGCTGCAGCTGATCACCTGCCCGATCTGGTCGATGCTGACCTCGGGGTAGCTCTCTGCCCGGCACTGTACGTCCTTGGGCTCCCGGCACAGCTTGCCCCCGGCGGCCCTGATGTTGTCGAAGGTCTCCATGTCCCCGCCCTCCACCCCTGAGGTCGGGAAGTCCACGTCAAACCAGTCTGTCCACTCGCACTGGGGCTGACAGCCGGTCGTGCCCTGGCCGGTGGTGGGCCCGGTTCCCGGGGTTCCCGGCGACGTCTTTGTTGTTGGCGTGGTCGTCTCTGTGGACGGTGGGCTGATGGTGCCGGTGCCGGTTGCGCCCGCTGCTCTTGTGACGGTGGGAGCCACATGGGTGGGCGTCGTCCCTGACGCCAGGGTGTGTCCCGTCGAGGGGTGCCACGGGGTCCCCTGCGGGCTCGTCCGAGTCCACGGCCCGGCGGCGGTGGCGGCGGTGGCGGTGGGCTCTGCGCAGTGGTCGCGGCTGCAGCAGAGCACACGGATCCTGTAGTTGTAGCACATCTTGAACAGGCCCGCCTGCTCCTCGTTCCTGCACACCAGGCCGAAGCTGGGGTCGCAGTGCACGTGCTGGCCCAGCTCTGCGGGGCTCGTGCCGGGGAAGATCTCGGCCTGGCACTCGATGTCCTCCGGATGCTCGCACACGGCCCCTCCTGCCCTCCTGATCTTGTCATAGGACTCAACGTCCCCCCCGGCCTCCTCGGACTTGGGGTAGTCCTCATCGAACCACTCCGTCCACCGACACCGGGGCTGACAGGCGGTGGTGGCCGAGGCCGAGGAGCTTAGTGTCCGGGTCCCTGTCGTGGTTGTGGCCCCCGTGGACTGGACGGTGGGGGCCCGCGTGGACAGGACGGTGGGGGCCCCCGTGGACTGGACGGTGGGGGCCCGCGTGGACTGGACGGTGGGGGCCCGCGTGGACTGGACGGTGGGGGCCCCCGTGGACTGGAAGGTGGGGCCAGACAGGGAGCTGACCGGTGGCTGCTGGGTGGTGGCACCAGGGGAGGTGCCACAGGGCACGTGGTCACAGCAGAGGACTTGCAGCTCATAGTTATAGCATAGCTGGTGGCTCTGCTCACTGTTGAGGCAAGTCAGCCCCCGGGCCACGTCACACTCCACTTTCTGGCCCAGGAGCTGCAGCGGGACGTGGGGGAATTTCTGTGCCCGGCACTCAATGGCCACTGGGGCTGGGCAGACCTCATGGCCCCTCTGCCTCAGGTTCACAAACGTCTCAAAGTCTCCACCTGGCAGGCCAGGCTCTGGATGGCTGCTGTCATGCCAGCCTGACCAATAGCACACTTCTCGCACACACACGGTGGAGGAGGTGGGGACCGAGCCTGTGGGTGGGAGGCAGGAACGTCGTCAGCCTCCTCTGCACGCCCGCCAGCCGTGCCCAGGAGGAGAGGTGACCCAGGCCGTCCCTCACGCCCAGGACGCCTGCACTGACCTGCCACTTGGTGTTCCCTCACCACCCAGACTGTTGCCCAGACTCCGGGGTTTGGGAGAGGGAGGCAGGACCAGCAGGGTGTCCTCCAGGCTTACCTGTTGTGGAGAGGGGTGTCACGGTGGTGGTGAAGGTGAAGGGTGTCGTGGACGGGGTTCCGGGACATTCCACAGCCCTCCGAATGATGGTCCCATTGTTTCCACAGATGGCGATCAAACAGGCACCGAGCCCGTCGGTCGTGTTGTAGATGACATCCTCGAAATGGTAGGTCCTGCCCTCGTAGGTGCAGGTGCACGCTGGCAGACAGGGTAGGCGCAGGGCTGACTTGGAGACCCCAGCCCCCAGTCCCTAGCCCCGCGTGGCACCCCTCACCCTTACCTTCGAGGCTGTGCGCGCACCGGAGGCCGCCAGCCGTGCATTCACTAGGGAGGGGAGAGGAGAGAGCTGAGGGCCAGCCCCACCGGGCCGGCGGCCCCCCGCCCCGGCTCCCCCGCCCACTCACCAGCTCTGGCAGTTCTCTGCCGTGGGGACCCTCGCGCCCACGTCGTGGTAGTCCCCGTCCTCATCGTAGCAGCCGCACTGGGCCACGCACTTCATCTGGTCTTCGTTGAAGAACGGCTCGCTGGGCGGGCACTTTGGGTAGCAGCCTGGGCAGGGGCGGGGCGGGCAGGAGACTCACCCTCGTGGCCAGGTGGTGGCTGCTGCCCCGGGGCGGCCAGCCCGCCACCCACGCACGACCCTGCCCTCACCTTCCAGGCCCGGCAGGTCGGTCAGGCAGCGGCCGCTCGGGTTCCGGCAGGTCCTCATGCAGGGTGCGCCGCACGGTTGGTAGTGCCACTCGCACTGGCCCTCGCGGTTGTAGTAGTCGCAGAACAAGGCTGCAGGTGAGGGGGCCGACTCAGCGGGCCGGCTCCGGCCAGAGCGAGCCACCAGCGGCCCCAGGCGGGGCGCCGCCCTGGCAACGACGGCCTCCAGGGCCACCCGGCGGCCGGCCGGGCTCCCCCTGCACCCCGACCTTCGACCAAGCCCCGTCCCTCCCCTGTGCCTCCCGCATGGGGCCTCGGGGGGTGTGGGCCCCAAATGCCCGTGACCTGGGACGCAGCCGCGGGTCCCCTGGCTCCTCGGGGGTGCCGCCTGCCAGGGTGGGGGACTCCGGCCGGAGCGGCTGCCCACTACGCTCCCCTCCGGCCAGGTTCTAAGCGGGCGGGGTGGGGGAGCACGGCTCTACTGACCCCTCTGGGTTCCGGAACATTCTCCCGTCTGTCCATCGGTGACACCCCTCCCCATTTCACGTTCCTTTCCGACACCCGCCACCCCCCTCCGCGGGCGACCAGCCTTAACCGCGCAGTGTGTCGCTCCCTGGGGTGGGGGCCCGCCCTGCCCCGACGACACATCCCGTGAACTCACGGCAGATGTCCGGGGTCCGCCAGGACACGCACACGCCCACGTCGCGGCAGGCCTGGGCGTAGGCGGCCACGGCCGTGCAGAGACACTCACAGTCGCCCCCGGAGTCACAGGCACACGTGTCGCCCACGCAGGCCTCGTAATACTTGGTGGAGTCGACCTGGGGCAGAGGGTGGTTGGTCTGCTCGACAGCCAGTCAGGGGACCGCCAGCCCTACCCCAGCAGAGGGACCATCTGATCCTGGCTTCCCACATCTGCGGTCTGAGACCCGTGACTCCCACCCACCTGGGCACCTCCACCCGCGCCCCGGCCAGCCTGCCCCTCTGTGCCCCTCACCCCTCACCTCTGCTCACATCACACTCAACCACAGACAGCCCTCCCCGTAGCTGTGTCGTGACCCTGCCTGTCTCCTCGGGGTGAGGGGGCGGGCCCCCAACCACACTCCTCCCTTGAGCAGCAGAGCCCAGAGTGAACCCAAGACACGTTTGCCACCAGACCGTTTCCTCCTAAGCGGCCTGCGCGTCACGTCCTGGATCGTGAGACCGTGCTCGTGAGTGACGAGAACTCGAGTTCTCATTAAAGTCACAGGAAGGACTTTGGGGAAGAGTCTCCAAGGCCGACTCCAGTCCTCAGTACTGGTGAAGCCCGGCAGGCCAGGGAATGTGGGTAGGACAGGGAGGTGACACCGGGGGTCTGTATGGCTCACAACCCCGCTTCTAGGGGAATGGGCCTGAGGGGTCAAGGAAAGCTGTGGGATGCTCTGGGTCGGGACCCCTGGGCAGGGCTTGGGGCACACCGTTTGGACCTCCCACCTGGTGTGCACCCACATCAAGACCGAGCTCAGAGGCCCAGGCCAGACCCAGCCCTGACCAGGAGGGAAGGAGGCAGCCCGACCCTCCAGCCCCCGAGGCCAGAGCGCCCACTTCGCACAGCCCACCTGAGAATGGCAGGCGGCGAAGGTGGCGCTGTTGAGGACACTGCACTGCTTCTGGGCCCAGGACTTGCGGTGCGGGTTGGCGGCGCAGGCGTCCCTGGGGGCCGGGGCGTCGGCGCAGGACGGGGAGAATTTCCAGCTGTTGCCAAACTCCAAGGCATTGCCCACCACGGACTGGCTCCGCGTGGTGAAGTCATTGACGGCATTGTCGTCAAAGTTCCCGCACAGCCCGCAGACCCGGCCCTGCACACGGAGGGGGGTGGGGGGGCAGGCAGCATGGGTGTTGGGGCTGCAGGGGGCAGCCCGAGGGAGCGGCGCATAGCCCAGGGGTGACTGCCTGACGCCTGGTGTCCCCAGGGAGTGCCCGGGGAACCTGCAGGCGGATGGGGTGCACAGTGGGTCCTATGGCAAGCGGGCAGGTGGGCAGCCAGATGAACAGGTGGGCAGGTGGGCAAGCAGGCCAGTGGGCGTGGGGGGACCAGAGAGCAGAGAATGGCTTTCTAACCAGGACTCTGTCAGTCGGTCCCTTGGGTCTCAACACCTGCCTTTTCAGAAGTTGGCATTGTGAGTGGACTGGCCCCAGCCCTCCGTGGATTGTCAGCGGCCAGACGGTCCCTTCTGGGCCAGATCTGTCCCTGCCAGAGGGGGTCCCCAGCCCGCCCACTCTCACCTTGTAGCCCTGCTGTAGTCGGATGAACACGCTGGTCTTTCGGTCCCAGGACACCACCATGCCGCTGCGGGTCTCGACAGTCAGGTAGATGCCCGTGTACCGGACCTTGTACGGCAGGTCTCCGCCCGGCCCCCTCTGCACCACCTTGTGGGTGCCCTCACGCAGGATCAGCTCATAGTTCTGCAGAGGGGCACACGGAGGTGGTGGCAGCCGGGACGGAGGGGCCAGCCCGGGGGCCACAGGTACTCAGGGGCCCTCGGCACAGGGCTGGTGGGCTCCTGACTGTCAGCAAACACCAGGCGAGAGGCCAAGCCGACTGGGCTGGGAGGCCGCATAGAAAGCCAGGGCCACGGTAAGCAGGGGTGCACGGGTCCCAGAGGGAGTCTGCAGGACTGGCCACCCCAACTCGCTGGCCTCTGAGTGAGGCGACCCTGCTCATGCTGTTACCACCCTGTGGGGGAGACGTCCCCCGCCAGCAGTGCGCCTCTCTGCCCGGTGAACTCTGACCTCCCTCTGCTGGAACTGGGCACCCTGATGTGGTGGGCTGAACGCAGGCCCCCAAAAAGGTGTGTCCACATCCTGACCCCTGAAACCCGTGAATGTGACCTTATTTGGAAGGAGGGTCTTTGCAGGTGTCAGCGACGGATGAGCTCATCTGGGACTTAGGGCGAGCCTCAGTCCAACCACAGGTGTCCGTGTGGGAGAAGAGAGGGGCAGACAGGTGGGGGAGGGGCGGTGGAGCCCAGGAGCTGGGGGG